AAAGGTTGACAACCACCATTTAAATCCATTTTTCTAATTTGTTTTGAAATCTGTTTCGAACTATGTACCAAAACGTGCTCGTGTATGTGTGTGTGTGTGTGTGTGTGTATGTGTGTGTGTGTGTGTGTGTGTGTGCGTGTGTATGTGTGTGTATGTGTATTTGTATGTGTTTGTGTGTTGATTTGACCATGTGTGTATATGCGTATTTAAATAATTGTGATAAATCTAGTGTGCAGTGGCGGACCAAATTTTGTTACGTCCCTGAAATTTGGAACGATGTAGGAGCCACTTCAATTTTTACAAAAGTAGCAATAAATAAATTTACACACCACATAATTAATAGCATTCTAAAAGGACCTTTCCGGAAATATCGACCATGACTGCCGTGAAATTCAACTCTAAAAATGGTTACCCATACAGAGCATCTTCTCCTGGCCCTACCCCCCCCCCCTCCTTTTCAGTACAATTCAAAACAAAAACAGAAATCCTACACCAAACCACGCCATCCTAACCTCCTTCTCCCCACTCCCACTTCTTCTATCAGTCTCCCATCTCTTTCTTTGGTTCACTGGTTTATTTCTATCTTACAACATCAATTTGGTTATAATAAACAGTACTATACTACAAAACTTCTTTGGATGACCTCGACAATACAGCATCAAGCGAGTGGCACATTGCACAGTGAGCTGTGACCGTGGAATGTTCTTACTTCTTTGTTTTCCCTGGACGTTTCTTTTGTGTGTCCAAAGAGGCTATAAATAGTACTGTATATAACCACTTTGAGTGTGTCGGATATCCCATTTTGAGTGTGCCTCAAGGGTTCTCAGGACAAACTGGCTCACTCTCGACATGTTCTCTTCTCCACTTTCATCCTCTGCTCTGACGTCATAGGAACGTGTTGGCTCTCGTTCACATGCACGTATACACACGTATACACGCGCACAAACGCTCACAGTTTAAAAAAAACCCCCACACATACACACAGACAGTCAGGCAGACACACACACGTAAACACTCAGTCACAACACATACATACACACAGACAGATAGACAGACACTCACTGTCATAACACGCACAGACAGGCAGACACACACACACACACACACACACACACAGACGCACACACAGACACAGGCAGACAGACAGGCGCACACACAAACACCCGCACACACATACATACACACATTCACACACACACACATACACACACACACACACACACACACACACACACACACATACACTTACTCACGCTCACACACATACAACATTTACAGTCACGACACACACTGGCAGACAGACAGACACAGGCATACACAAACACAAACACGCACACACACACGCCTATGCAACTGACATATCTTTATACTGTATGTATAATTTGATATGCCTGGTTGTTAGGAGAGACAGTGAGAGGTATAGAATAAGAGAGCTATATAATGAGAGAAAGAGAGAGAGAACGAGAGAGAGAGAGAGAGAGAGAGAGAGAGAGAGAGAGAGAGAGAGAGAGAGAGAGAGAGAAATCTAGATAGATAGATAGATAGATAGATAGATTGATAGATAGATAGATTGATAGACATACAGACAGATGGACAATCAGACAGAGAAAGAACAGGCATATTACATACGCACAGACACTTTCATACATTGTCATAGCATGATATTCATCCATCCATCTAGACAGACTTACAGACGGACTGACCTACAGGCATACACACAGACAGGCGGAAAGACAGATCTAGTGGGAGGTCTAACGATAGAAGGGGGAATGACATCTCCCATACCCAGAGTGTTTCGGAATACACTTCATTGCGTATTGATGGTCTCGTGTCTCACGTTGTTTCCACTTTGGATCACAATTTCCCCTCTCAGGATGGCTCGACCTTTTCAAGGGATCCTTCACTTCATTTTGTCGTTTTTGTCTCCGACCTTCCGTCCGTCCATCACCCTCTCTCCGTCCGCCACTCCTTTTCTCGTTCTCTGTATACGACCGTCTCTGTCTCTGACTCTGTCTCTGTCTGTGTGTGTCTCTCTGTCTCTCCCCCTGTCTCTCTCTCTCTTGTTCTCTCTCTCTCTCTCTCCCTCTCTCTCTCTCTCTCTCTCTCTCTCTCTCTCTCTCTCTCTCTCTCTCTCTCCCTCTCTCTCTTATTTTCTTGTCTCTCTCCCGCACTCTTTCTCTCTTTATTTCCATGCTACCTCCCAGGGAGCTTCAGACAAAAATTAATGCTGTTGTTTTGCTCCACCTCCACCGCCAACCCTTTTTTAAGTATCTCATCTTTAGTTTCCAAAAACTGCTAACGCGTGGACGCACTCACAAAATAATTACTATGTCCGTTTCTATCTCAGCACTTGGAACCGGAGCTTTTAGATTGTAACGCAACTCATTAACTGTCATTAACAAAAAGAAAGTGAAAGAAAAAATAGCAAACAAAAAACGGACAAACATCGTTAGAACGCGTTTTTCGTGAGCTACCGCATGTCCTCCTCTTTCAGAAACTGTTTTTTTTCTGTTTTTATTGTTGTTTTATTTTGGATATTTTGGTTTTGTTTAGTTTTGTGGGCTCATGGTGAACTCTTACTCTTATTTTTTACTACTTTTTCAGGGCTTGCTAAATGACAGCGACGATTCTGACAAGATTTCCATGCGATTATTTGGATCTAGCCCTATTTGATAGAGTGTGTCAATCAGGTCCATTTTTCGATTCCGGGGGAAAGGTGGGGGGACGGGGGAATTCAAGATTTTGTCTTGGCAAAATGGTGAATCTTGAGCTGACCCAAATATTCATAATGGTTTCTTCTACGTTGCTTGGATCCCAATTCCTTCCAACAAATTAAACACTACCTTGCTTCGATTGTTTGCGTCTTTCACTCTGGCAAAAGACACTGTTGATTAATAATCAATAGTTACTTTGTTTGGTTGTTTGAGTAAAGAAAAGAGCATTGCCACAATACTGATCATTTAGTCCCAGGAAAAAAGTAAGACGGTTAGAAACAACTAAGGGAAAGAAAAGAAGTTAGCCGCCCCAGCGACCCTTTCCAACCACCCCATACCTTGATTCGATTGCATGTGTCTTTCTCTGTGGCCAAAGGCACTGTTGATTATTAATCAATAATTGTGAACTAACCCAAAGCAGACTATGTATAATTTACCTAATTTTTATATTCCTTGCCCATTTTATGAGATGAACGCCAACTGATTTTTTAAAGAAAAATGTGCGTATGATAGTGTTCAGTGGTGTTTTATGTACGAGACATAATTCTTGTAACGTGTATCTGTTACAGATAGAAATAAAAGGAATATAGATGTATGTCAATTATCTGAGAGAAATAATGATCCTAGATATTGATGGTGGTGGTTAGTGATGATGTGAGATGGTGTTTATATAAATAATTATTGAAAAAGACATGCGTTCATGCATTGTCAGCTGGGTGTTTTGAATGTTAACATCAGTCCCATCTTCCCCTGCTCCAATTAGTCAAGAGGGACGTGGGTACCCTCTATCCCATTCCCTTCCTATATACCTAATCAAGCTAATTGTAATAAAATACCCACAATTGGTGCATGCTGGTCTGTTCAACTTCCAGATTTAGTCATGCATGTTCAATTAGTCGAACGCATGTACACTTTACATTGTCCAAATGATCCCAGAAAAGCAGTGCACTGTTGCATGTTTCATCCACCTCCTCATTTAGATGTGAGCAGACTATTTACGATGATAACATCCTGTCCCAGTCCTAAATTAGCGCGAGCAATAAGCACCTTGCTCTTACTTCCGGTATATCCTGTTTTGATTGGACCACACTTCGTGCACGCGTCTAGCACTCGAGTGCTGGTGAGCGCCCTTGGAACTATGCAGTATGCAGCGTATATTCGTGAGGGCTTGGGTTTGGGAGGACAAAGGGACGGGGGTTGTTGTTGTTGTTTTGTTTTTTTAAAGTTTGTTGGTCGACGCGAACTTCAAACGGAGAAAGAGGACGCCGTGCTGACTGTTAGAAATCAGCCTACACGCTCGATGGTACAGAAGTGTTGTGTATGTTCGTACTAATTATTATTATGACTATTCTCTCTTAAGGTAAGGTGGTGGTATACTGAATTCAGTTTTTGTTTCTTTGACTCTTAGAATACGGTGGGTTATTCCACATTAATGTACGCTGCCAATTTTGTCATGTAAGTTTTTGGCATCATAAACTTCATAATAACTCCGCTCTTATTTACCTATTTACATGAAATAAACACGGCACTGAGACTGAGTTGAAATAACTTTTCCAAGCAATAAACAAACAGTTTGAGTATAGATGAGATGAATTTGCTGAGGTTTGGTAGATTAAAAAAAAATTATTGTATGCAACGCTAGAGTTGATGCTGAGAGCCAGTTAAACTGGCGAGTTGTATACTTAACGTTAATGTCTTCCGAAGTGTCTATGTCCCTCTTTTAGAGAGAAAAAAAAGAGAGAGAGAGAGAGAGAGAGAGAGAGAGAGAGAGAGAGAGAGTAATAATGCTGGGAGGAAACAGCCGGCATATCTATTTCCTGGCTGATGTCGGTAGTTTTAATCTTATGATCTTCAGTTTGATAAGCACCCTTGCATGAAACTCGCACAGGTAAAGTTTACGTCTAGTTATCTGTGACAGGTAGGGATAAGTAGATCTAGTCAATACCGGTTTTCGGTGAAAGTGAAAGCTGTCCAAAATGTCTCTAAAATAGAACAGAGTGCGCTGCTATCTTGCAAACCAAACATTATTATGACTCGTAGTAGTCTTTTTTTTGTTGGAAACGAGATCAGTGATATATTGATCATCGTTGATTAGTCGCCAGATAACGTATTTCGAAGGATGCCACTCAAAAAAGTACAACCACAAAGTCAACTTGGTTTGCGCTGCTATCAAATGTGGACTTTAATTTGTAGGTTGACCTGACTGTGCAAATTAATCCCCTATTCGTTTGAAAACAATACAAATAATTAGGGAAACATAAGAGAAATCATTTGGAGTACGTCGGTGTACTAGTGCCTTTATCACTGATGGTATTCCTTCTGTCGATCAGCAAACTTGTGTGAGTCAGATACTTCAATGTGCCACGTAGCCCTGTACTGCGATAACCGGCTGTCTATTTCGGCTTTTGACCCCTTCAGCTTTCCTCTAAGTAAATATACGTATATAATATAGAGAGAGGAATGGTCTCACTGCTCGAGAAATGTTGAAGGAGGCATAGTCAATGAGGATGTCGCTAACATAGATAATGATCGGGGCTAGTTGTAGTCGTCGACTTGATTTCTGGAGGAGGTCAAGTTTTCAAACGTTGTGGGACTTAGCCAGCTGCAGTGAGTGTGTTTAACTCTGCCCTTTCCAACGTTTTGTTTCTCTTCGGCCAAGTGTGCGTTCTTTGGATTCTTTAACTGGATATGGTGAGAGTTATTGATCCCGACAATCACTAGTTCTGAGTTTCCCTAGACATACACAATTATTCAATGAGCGGAATGTTGTTCTGCTGGCAAAATAGATGTTAGGAGGTTCTATCCACTGCTTAACGATATCTCTTAAGTGTTGTGTATTGTTATCTTTATGTGTTTTTGTATTCCACCCACAGTCCATTATTCTTTTCCCACGTAGATTATTTTTTTTAAATGAAGGTGTTTTTACACCCCCATCGACACAATTTAGACAATTTAGGAGACCTGTTAGTGTCAACTGGTAGCTAGGCCACCGGACCCGTAAGCAGGTTCAAGGGGTTCAAGCCTTAGCTGGTTTAGACTATATGTCCGTGGAAAAGGCATTTTATACACATTTATTTTATTTGTCTTTGTGCTTTCGGAGATGGATGATAAACTCGGAGGTCCCGCCTCTTAAATGACCTAATAGTGTTGGAAAAGGCTTTAAACATATACCATTTCACAATTTTGTCATCAATGTGCTATTTTCTGGACATATAGTGTTGGTGCTCTACCTTTCTTCCTGTGCATTCAATGTTTCTATTAGGAAAACATTTTGTAGGTGCTTTTTTGGCAGAGCATAGTTGACCCAAAATACATCATTGAACGGCTTAGAAAAGTTTGCCAGTTTTTTCGGAGAGCCCACCCTTCTCTTCCATTTTGCAATAATAGTAATAATGATAATAATAATAATAATAATAATAATAATAATAATAATAATAATAATAATAATAATAATGATGATGATGATGATGATGGTGATAATAATAATAATATAAAAATAATAATAGTAATAATAATGATGATGATAATGACAATAATGACAGTTGCATTTATACAGGGCATATCCACACCCCACAGCATACCCTCTGCGCTTTACTACACTACTATTGTGAATTTTCATTTGTTTCTCTGATATCTTTCTTTCAATCGTTGGATAACTGGACCATTCTTTGTTTACGCGGGGAGGGGGGGGGGTCAGAGAGAGAGAGAGGGGGGGGGGTGATTCTTGTGGGTGTGTTTTTGGTACAATTTGCATTATACGGTTCAATGTGTACTGGGATATTTATAAACCCCAACAGCTTCTTGTTACCACAGACTGTAATAGGCCCTTCGAGGACTTTCCCATCGTACTGCTAATGTGCATAACCTAATCAAATTCTAAAATTGTATTATTTTATAGTTTAATAAATTATTTGTATGTTTCGGTTCGTTTTATTATTTTTTCACTATATGATTGCCATCCTGTTTGGCTTGCTTAACTTTATTTGGCAGTAGAACTCTATATTGTCAACCAACTGCTGGCACATTAAGGTATCAACTTGCTTACACTTACGTAGTAAGAAACCACAGAACACAGTATAAATATCTAGCACATCTCATTATTTGCAGGCAACGGAAAGAAATACTGAAACGATAAATGAATTGAAAGGAAGAAACTGGATCCGATGGAAAGGAAAGGGTGAGGGGGGTTGTGCCACCCCCAGACTGTTGAAGATTAGTAATAACAGTAATACTCAATATTAGTTTTAAAGTGAGCATTTTACGGCATTTGCAGCACAATTTGGTCACAAAAGTGCCGATGATTAGAAATGCTACAAAAGCGTAACAAACATAAAAAGACAGAGGAGAGAAAAGGACGATAGAAGTTTGTTAGGGTGGAAAAGGAACAAACAACACCACAGCATCCGCCAACCACCTACAAAACACACTGACAAAAATAAACAGGTGTTACAGTCACTGACATCTCTCCGTTGGCACTTGTTTTTAAAAAAAAGGAAGTCGAGCGAGGTGTGATCAACTGAAGAACAAAGGGCTGTATTCTTCGCACAGTTCGTGTCTTCTTCTTCAATTCCCCGTTTGACGCATGGCAGTAAAATTCTCAAGTCTCCAAACGCTAGTTAGTCTCATCCGTTGTTTTGGCTGACCTCGAGAGGAAACTGGCGCCTCGTGTTTCCAAAATATCGTGTTGTTGTTGTTGGTGGTGGTGGTTGTAGTGGCCCTGATGGTAGTGGTGGTGTTTTGTGGTTGTGGAAAAGTCGATTAAGGAATAAGAGTATTCAGTAAGTAAATGTAAAAAATAAGATAAAATAGTCTGGTTACTAAAACATCTGTTTAATTGTTTAGTACAAAGCTGTATCATACAATACTCGTCCTTTATGACTGCTGTTTTGTTTTGTATAACTGGCATAAAACCAGAAATTAAAATACGGCTTACGCTGGGAAAAGAAGAGATATTAATGTCTGTTATGCAATGAATTTGAATGATTTCGATACCATACTCTTAAAAGTTTCTTGAATGGATTCAAAGATTTAATACAATAATATTAATCATGCACTATCAGTAACAATGGCATATTTGTTTTCGTACTGTAGATCATACTTGGAAATGGACCAGCACCTCTAACAGACGCGACGACTCAGAAGAGCTTGCATGCTTACAGGAGGAAAAATACAACTGAACTCAACAAGACATCTGATCTTTTTTAGTCGACAAATACACCTGTTTTATTAGTCAGTCAAACCTTGTTGTAGTGGACAAACCACAACCAGCAGAAATCACCTTTTGTCTTGGGAGGAAAAACATCCAACATCAGACTTATTTCAGTTGTCAAACACACCTTTTTTCTAATCATCACAGCACCTTTTTAATCAACAAACACACCTTTCTTATCAACAGACACACCTTTGTAATCAACAAACGCACTTTTTCAATCAATAAAACATACATTTTTACAATTACCAATTGAAAGAATACCCAGAAAGGACCCTCTGTAGATTCTTGCGGGGAGCAGTCCCCTTCAGCCAGACACAATGCCTTCCACGGACGTCTCCTCGGACCCCAGCACTCTGGACGTCACGGCGTACGAGACCAATGACTTGTTACAGGACCAGTTCAGCAAACAGGCCAAGCTCACACCATCTGCTGTGGCTGTGGTCAGTCCCCACGGTGAGGACCAGTACTTTTGTTTTACTTTGTTCCTGTTCGTTTTTAATATAGATTGTAAAGAGCATAAAGCTTGCTGTTTAGCGGGAATATGCCTTATGCAAATGCTGTTTATCTATATAATAATTTTATTATTGTCATTGTCATTGTTGTTGTTGTTATTATTTTTATTATTATTATTA